TACCTCTTGGATTTTGATTTCAAAATGTTCAAACTCAATTTTCTCGGAATCCCTAAGAGATAAGAATCAAATTGTAGCTCTTGGTAAAAGCTTTAAATGGTATTTGGTTAAAATCGCTACTCGCTACTATCTGCGGTTTTCGAGAAAATCGAGTTTGAAGTTTTTGACATTTTTCCGACAAACATAATTCAACTTTGGGGCTCAATTTTTCTAAAAGTATTCCAGCTATCAAACTCAATTTTGCATGAATCTAATGCTCTTTCCAAGGATGTATCTAGCTCTAGCATACTTTCAAAAAAAAAAAATAATAATAAATTTACCATCATAGTAATAGGGTCTTCCAAAAACTAAAGAGGGTTTACACTTTTGACATATTTTAATGTCAAAAGTACAAACCCTCGTGAAACAAACATTATGTACATAATGTACATACAAAAGTTGTACCTTTGACTAGTCAAAGGTACACACATCATTGTACCTTTGACTGGTTAGAAGTACCTACACATAATATTTTTGCGTCTATCATAGAGATTGAAGTTTACCGGTAATTTTCATTTGTTCTTTCTCAGTGGTAATTTACCGGTAATTTTTCGGTTATTTTGGTAATTTTGGTAATTTTGGAAATATTTCATGAAACAAACAGTTATGTATATTATCATAATTGTTCGTTACCTATACGTTCAAGGATTATAGATTTTCAGGATTTTTTACCTAAACAACCATTTATTCAATATTGGTTGTTGTAAAATCTAACCGCATAGAAATATTACAATAATTAATCTATATATATAAAAATCAAAGTTCACGGGGTATCCGGATATGCGCTCCAAAACCACTTATCCGATTACGATGAAACTTTGGTAGGTTGTAATGGCCATCCCAAGGAAGGTTTATGGATAGGTTACGCATCTCGGAAAAAGAAATTAATTTTGAATTAATTATTAATTTAATTGTAAACAAACTCATTCACATTACATAACAACATAACCCAACTTTTTTTGACAGCATGAAACAACGTTGCCATATTTCATTTATTTAGGCTTGCATTCAACCGACGTAACTTTTTTATTTTTTGAATTCAAGAACGGCTGGACCGACCTTGAATTAATACCACGTATCTCTATACCGGGTGACCACGAGATTACTGACCAAGCTGTAGTTCAGGCATGAATATCAATATCGATTTCAAGTTTTGAGGATGCATATTATTGATATCGATGCAGAATTTCGCTATAAAAACAATCGACTATCGCTTCCGGTTTGACCGCAAGTGCCATCAACTTCTTTATTTCAACTAGATCACCCCCTATATTATTACATTTTTGGATTCTATGAGAAATTCTAAGCATATTTTATGTATAATATCCTATACCTAACTTTAAGAGTTTTCAAGAAAATCGCAATTGAAAATGTCAAAAAATAATTTTTATTTTAGTTTTGACAGCAAACAATGGAAAGAAGGTTGAAGCTTTTACGATATTTTTAACTCATTTTAGAAGCACTAAAGGGTCCCACAACAAAAATAAAACTTCCGGTTCAATCGAAGGTTTTCGGTCGATCTACTTTTGAGGTTATGTTACTGCAATAATTTCAATGGTATACCATACTTAGAACTAAAAATTCGTATTCTAAGAACAATTTTGAATCTTTTTTGTGTACGCTTTCCTATACCTAAAGTCTACTGTTTTTGAGATATTTGACACTTGATGTAAGGATGTCTTTGGAACAACGAATACCAAAAACAGTATTAACAGCATTAATTTTAATCCTTTTTATAAGTTTATTTAATTAGATCACACAGAATGCAGTTTAAAAGATAATTCTCATTTGATGTGTTCCTTGAATCCCGATTTGCACTGTTACCCAAAGGTCGCAAATAATCCAAAAAGTTAGGGACGCAAACGTGAACAATACTGTAAAATATCTCAAAAACAGTAGACTTTAGGTATAGGAAAGCGTATACAAAAAAGATTCAAAATTGTTCCTAGAATACGAATTTTCAGTTCTAAGTATGGGATACCATTGAAATTATTGCAGTAACATAACCTCAAAAGTAGACCGACCGAAAACTTTCGATTGAACCGGAACTGATATTTTTGTGGCGGGACCCTTTAGTGCTTCTAAAATGAGTTAAAAATATCGTAAAAGCTTCAACCTTCTTTCCATTGTTTGCTGTCAAAACTAAAATAAAAATTATTTTTTGACATTTTCAATCGCGATTTTCTTGAAAACTGTATAAGTTAGGTATAGGATATTATACATAAAATATGCTTAGAATGTCTCATAGAATCCAAAAATGTAATAATATAGGGGGAACTAGTTGAAATAAAGAAGTTGATGGCACTTGCGGTCAAACCAGAAGCGATAGTCGATTGTTTTTATAGCGAAATTCTGCATCGATATCAATAATATACATCCTCAAAACTTGAAATCGATATTGATATTCATGCCTGAACCAGAGCTTGGTCAGTAATCTCGTGGTCACCCGGTATAAGGTGAATTCGATTGACCCAGATTAGATCGATTTGGGTTCAATTTAACTGAACTTCTTCTGATCTAGATCATTTTTTTGTTGATGAGGGTGCACTGATCCAGCTTGAATCGAACTCAGTGTGGTTCACTTAAATTGAACCAGATCGATCTAATCCGGTCAATCGAATCGGCTATAGAGGAGAGTGATATAGGCTAAAAAAAAAAAATCCCGAAAAAAAAAGTTCGGTTGCGTAAAACTCTGATACACTGGAACGCCTATAAACAGCCCGGGGCGCTCTAGAGCAGCTCTGGAGTGCTTGAAATGCGTCACTGAACTCACTGGCAAGCGACTATGATATCGAATTAAAAAAAAAAAAAAAAAAAATAGAAAATCAACAACAAAATTTGAAAAGAAGTGTATTATTTCAAAATGTATTTACTTGCTGGCAACGCAGCGGGTCATTAGCTAGTTAAATAATAAAACCTAATTCCTAGAACGAGAAACGAGCAAAGAAAATCAAACAAAAAGTAAACAGAAATAAATTCTCCTAATCTGGTGCTTAACTAAATAGTAAAGTAAATACCTACTTTTAAAGGGTAAAAAGAAAACAAATAAATATAATGAGCTGAATAAGTATAGCATAAAAGATAACTCTGTCAAGAAAATTGATTACTTTAAGCGCACAGGGTTGGCAAAAGCCCGGGTTTCTGAAAATTTCTATTGGTTTTTTGGGTTTTTGCGAGAGTTGTGCTTTTGTAGGGTTTTTGTGTTTTAAGATCTTTGACTCTTTGAAATTCCAAATAATCTCAAACTCAGAACTCAACAAAAACCCACCGGGTTTTTGAAATAGGTTTTTCCTACGAGCACAATTTTTTAATTCAAAATATAGGTACTACATATTTTTTACTTCAAATCACATTACTATCTATCTATAGGAACTATTTTTCATTGAGAAAACCTAGATCTTGCACAGGTTTTTTGATCAATTTTTGATAAATGTGATGGACAAAAATACTTGTGGAAAAACATTACACCTAACTTCTGCGGAAAATGTCTTTTCCACCCTTGACAGTTCGCCAACTGCCGTTGCGTGGGGAAAAGCACCACTTTCCGCACTTGTTAGATCAATAACTATTTGTTTATGCCGACGCTGAAAGCGCGTTACAGATTCACAACAAGACCAGTACCCCTCAACCTGGAGAGTACTCTAAAAGCGCTGATGCTTGCAACAACAGGAACAGTAGGGGCTTTAAAAATTTTAGCATCAGTTTTTGAAAATTTATAGTCTCCACTGCTAAAATGGTCTGCACAAACATACGTCCATTTGCTTACTGAGCTGGATTTTAAATTTATTGCTCCTAACCATGTTTTTTCCATATCATAAATTATTCGGAATACTAAAAAATAGTGTTAAATAGAAATACATAATTAAAATATGTACCATGTTGTATTTTTGTGGCCTACATGCACCTCCGACACTGTTTTTTTTCCCTTCAATCATGTCGATGTCATAAGTTTTGTTTACTAACGGGTGAAATGATAAACAATCCGCTAGTTTTCCTCTTTTCTGACACACTACACACTTATTAGTAATTTTAAATCCTGAATAAGAAACTTTCACGAAATGTATAAACATGTAAATGATAAATTTTTAAACAATTCCACTTTAAAGCAGTGAAAGTTTCACTGCTTTAAAGTGGAATTGTGGCGGTTCCTCCATAAGAGCACATGTGCACGTGCACTCCCAAATTAATATCAAACAACTTTAAATTTAATTTTATCATTCTTCAAATTATAACATTCTACCTGTAAAGTATTAATTTAAAAAATTAGTGGCCAAATACGCCAGCAAAACAAACGCAACCGGCAACGCTGGAATCACAGCGTCCACCGCGTCGCCTGATCGCCCCGTTCACTGCACATTTCAATTAAATCCAATTGGTGGAACTATGCCCCCCCGCACTCTTTGTTCCCCGCAAAGGTCTAGCGACGTTCGATGTTTTAAGCTGGCTGGTGTGCACATGTAGCAGTCAGTGCACTTTGGGATCGGAAGCGGTTGTTTTATATTTATTTCGATTTCGAGCGCGATTTAACTGAAAACTGTGTGTAGAATGGCGGGATTTCTGAACCCCGATAGCCTTAGCGTGCAATATTTAAAAACAATTAAATTTTCTTCGCTTTCTTTGGAGGAAAAAATCCAAATCAAATGTGTCGGCCGTCCAAAGCCAAATTTAATAATCACCAACATAACAAAATGCAAAAGTCGTGATTATAAACGAACTTTTAAAATGGAAACTTACGAAAAAACTGACTGGTTGTGCGGTTGTGATGTTAGTAATAGTCTTTACTGTTTTCCCTGTTTGTTATTTGGAAGCGATGAAGCATCAGAATGGACAAAATCCGGCGTTAAAGATTTAGTACATTTATCCGAAAAAATTAAAAAACATCAAAACTCGAAATCACATCTTACTGCTAAGCTAGGATTTAATTTATTGGGTAAACAAGATATTCGGCAGCAATTAAATAGTGCATACCGATTAAGCATTGAGAAACATAACGAGCAAGTAAAGAATAATCGGTATGTCTTATCTAAAATTATCAACTGCATTAAATTTTGTGGTGCTTTTGAACTTGCTCTCCGTGGACACGATGAACAAAAAGATTCATTGAACCCAGGTATATTTAGAGGTCTCATAAATTTTTCTGCCGAATTGGACTTAGCACTGAGGGATCATTTGCAGCAACCTACCGTGTTTAAAGGCACGTCAAAAGACATTCAAAATGACTTACTGGAATGTATGCTTTCGGTCTGTCAAGCAAATATCAAAAAAGAAATTGCTTCTTCAAATTTTGTTTCCGTTATGAGTGACGAAACAAGTGATATTTCAAATATTTTCCAAATGGTTATAGTTTACCGTTATACTCTACCAAACGGCACACCTGTTGAACGATTTTGGACTTTTATAAAACCAAATGATCACGATGCTGTTGCTTTAGCTGGCTGCATAGAAGAATCTTTAAATCCTGATCAGTTAATCTCCCAAAGCTATGACGGAGCAAGTGTCATGAGTGGCGCCCATGGTGGTGCAAATGTACGTATATTTTTTGCAGATCTGAGTGACATTACCAATTTTTTTTCAAATTCTCCACAAAGAGTGGCCATATTAGATGAAGTGGTTGGAAATAGGGTTCCTAGAGCTGCTCTAGGAACATCTGCTACAAGGTGGAACTTCAAAATCAGAACCGTTAACACTGTTTATGAAAACAAAGAATCACTTCTAGAGTGTATGGAAAAAATACAATCTACATCCAGACAATCTGATACCATCAGAAAGGCAGGTGCACTTTTAAGGTTATTACATGACCGTAAATTTGTTTTTTGGTTAACAGTGTTTCATCGTGTGATGCCCCACGTTGATATTTTATATTCACAGCTACAAAAAAGGGCAACTGATTCCGTAACTGTGAAACGTAACATTACTGAGTTTGAAAAAAATATTCAAAAAGAAAGAGATAATATACATACTATTAGAGAAATCGAGTTAGCAGATATTGATGAGAGTCAAGCTAGGAAAAGAAGAAAGATGGATGAGAGAAATTCCTATGTTTCCACGACTGTACAAGCTAAAGAAGTGTGTGACACCATAATTGCAGAAATAAAAAAAAGGTTTTCATTCACAGGCGATTTGGAAATAGCACACTTATTTTCAGTGGAAAATTTTGAAACGTATTCATCAAATTTTCCTATGCAACATTTAGATTCAGCAGTTCGAAGCTTTCCATTTTTGAATAAAAACAAATTAAAGACAGAATTGGAAATAATATACAGAAGAGGAGATTTTGGAGAAGTTTCTGGAGCAGTCCACTTTCTTAAGTTTTTAATTGAAAATAATTTGCAAGCAGATTTCTCTGAAACATTTTCAGTGCTTCAAGCGATTATAACAATGCCTATGACAACCGCAGAAGCGGAACGTTGCTTCTCCACATTAAAACGGATAAAAACTTTCCTTAGAAGTACAATGGGACAGGAGAGACTAACTGCCCTCGCAATGTTATCTATTGAGAAACAAATGATTCAAGAAATTCCAAATTTTAACGAACTGGTAATTGAAGAATTTATCTCAAAAAAGGACAGACGACTTCATTTTCAATACAAAACGTGTCTGTGAGAATTGTGAGATTGAAAACTATAATACATTTATGTATAAAAACAATTGTTAGACCAGGACGATGTACTCAGCGAGGTAAGTTACTTTGTTACTTAATTTCTAGTTTATTGATATAAGATCCTTCAATTTCCACGATTTGATAGACCGAAAAAAGTATTAAATTGAGCTTAGTTGGTTGTTTGGTAGGGTAGATATGAAATCCCTTAACAATATTTTTAATTATTGGTAGGTAAACACATCACATAACTCATACGATCACTTACAATAAATTATTTTTTTTACTACTAACCTGAGAAATAGACATTATTCAATCTATTTTTCTAAGAAAAAATTGAATTTCTCTCCCTAGGTTAATAATGAAAATAATGAAAAAATACCTAGGTCAATAATGAAAATGACGTCATGACGCAAGGATATTGTCATGTTTCTATTGGATCAATTTCAATTTCATACGTCAATTTGAAAAAAAATACAGGTTTCTGTAGGTACATAGGAAGTTATATAAGCTGTTGATAGAGGGCAGCACTTTCAAGAGGGCATTCACAAAAAAAATTAGAACACAGATTTTAAACAATTTTTTTATTTTCTACTAGCAGTAGTAAAAAAAATTCTATATATTCCGCGGTAGAGAAAGTCATTATATACCTCAAACATTATAAACCTCGGCGCTGCGCGCCTTCGTTTATAAAAGCTTTCGGTATATAATGACCAACTTCTCTACCTAGGTATATAATATACTATTTTTTACTACTAACCTGAGAAATTGTCATTATTCAATCTATTTTTCTAGGAAAAAATTGAATTTCTCTCCCTAGGTGAATAATGAAAATAATGAAAAAATACCTAGGTTAATAATGAAAATGACGTCATGACGCAAGGATATTGTCATGTTTCTATTGGTTCAATTTCATTTCCATACGTCAATTTGAAAAAAAATACAGGTTTCTGTAGGTACATAGGAAGTTATCATAAGCTGTTGATAGAGGGCAGCACTTTCAAGAGGGCGTTCAAAAAAAATAATTGGAGCACAGATTTTAAACAAATTTTTCATTTTCTACTAGCAGTAGTAAAAAAAATTCTATATATTCCTCGGTAGAGAAAGTCATTATATACCTCACTCATTATAAACCTCGGCGCGAGCGCCTCGGTTTATAAAAGCGCTCGGTATATAAGGACCAACTTCTCTACCTAGGTATATAATATACTATTTTTAAAGGCCTAAAATAAACACTTCTGGGCGTGGCACCCCGAAATATTTCGCGCCTCCGGCGGCGCCTGCGGCGGACATCCCTCTTTCGGCATTTATTATGAATTACAAATTATGTGCACCCCCAATATGTTATACCACGAGCCGCCACTGGTAAAACACCCAAAAAAGTCGATAAAAAAAACACACAATAATATATATTGACATTTACGCAGGTACGGCAATCGGTTGCTATTGGGAACCACCCAAACAATATACTCTGTTTAGCTAGACTTGTATAGTGTTCTTTTCGTTTACATATTGCCTTAGCCTTAGAGAGAGATGTCTAAAGATCCAAAATGTAAACGGATTCTTGGAAATCGTACTATAGAAAACCAGCGTAAACAAAGTAAGAGAGACAAAATCTAAATATTTGGAGAGAGATCTTTGTACCATATTTGGAAGTTCATTACTCATCTTTTAGTGCTAACTATATATAATCTAAGGGTTTTGTTATGTGGTTGTTTATATCTCGACCATTGTGCTTCTTATCATTGGACGTCTTTGAACGGAAATTTTTGAGTAAATATTACGTTGTAAATCCCAAAAAACACTGAGCTCGACCTAAACACGTCTGATCACAATTACTCCGCAAAATTATTCGGAAGTATGGAAATATTTTATTTACAATCAAGTAAGAGATTAAAGTGTGGTAACGTTACCGCGGTAACGGTAATTTTGGTAATTTAACCCGACAAATTTATTTACCGGTAATTTTTAGAAATGCTTCCTGAATGAAATCACATTCAGGCGACAATCCTTTTTATGCATTATTCGCCATCTTGTTGTGAATCTGTAACGCGCGATCCAAGAGGGGCCATGGGGGCCATGGCCCCCCTGGATAAAAAAAAAAATAATTTTAAAAATCAACATTAAATCGACCAATTTTTCCGGGTTTACCAGGGCTTGTATATAACAGAATTTTATTTCATGGCGTCATTTTATCACGGACCTCTAGCCTATTCTATTTGTATGTACAGGGTGTCTGGTTATAATTTGACACCAGTGTTGCCAACTATTTGAATGGCCATTTTACCAGATTATAAAACTTGGAATACCAGAATATTACTAGATTTTTCTCAATCCTGCCTAGGGATGGCAAAATAAAAAAATATATCGATATATCGAATTATATGATATATCGAAATAACATATCGATACATTCGATATATCGAACGAAAAACATCGATATTTTGAATATATCAATATATATTTGATTTTTTTATTTTTTTCTACAAGCGTGCGAAAAGTGTTTTTTTTCTGCACGCATTTTAGGTCATGACAATATCATTTTTCTGCACTAGTGTAGAAAAGTGAAATAATTATGCAATGTTAGGTCACCCTGATACTTTCATGTCCTAAAATGCGTGCGGACAGGTACTTTTCCGCACGATCGTAGAAAAATAACGTTCCCTATGGCGAGTCTTATAAAACTATTCTGACAGAATAACTAAAAGTTAACTTCTGGAATGACGTTACTTCTTATGTATGTAATTCCAGAAGTTAACTTTCATTTAACTGTCAAAGTAGTTTTCGAGGTAGTTTTATAACACCCGCCCTTAATCATGCGGAAAGTCTTTTTTCCTCATTCAGTTGTTACGTACACGCCCTAACTGACGTTTGTTTTATTTTAGCCGCCACTGTCAACTGTCAGACTGTCACAGTCAACAAAAGAACTGTGCGCACCAGCGAAGGCATTATTTTTAAATTTCCGATATATCGAATAGATTATATCGATATTTTTTTCGATATATCGAATGTAAGATATCGATTAAAATATATCGATATATTTGAGTAATAAATCGATATTTACAAAATATCGATATATTTTTGCCATCCCTAATCCTGCCAATACCAGAATATTACTAAAGTCCGACAAATACCATTTTAAAGTCACGTGATACTGGTGGCAAAAAACGTATGTCCATTGATTATGTCGTTGATATCACCTACAAAAAGCTACTGGTGGTTAATTACTATTAAATTTTAATATATGTTGCCACTAGCATTTTACAAACGCGTTTCTGAAGTAGTATTGACCAATCAGAGGGCAATTTTAATACTTGCAATTGTTGCGAGACTTCATTTTTGTCACATCCGCTGTCTGTTGTAATACATTCTGAACTTTAACTGGGTACCCGTTTTCTATTTGCTTTTTTTCGAGTTGGAAAAAGGTTAATATGGTCAAAATTATTAGCTGTGTTTGTTTGTTGTATTATTTTCGAAAATAACTTTGACAAACTAATTGATGACAGTGACGGATTCTATTTCAGGTAAGAATATTATGAACAATAATTAGACAGCAATTTTTTTGTCAATTTTACTATCACCGCTGTTTGAGGTGTATTCAACAAGGATAGAGAAAAATCACGTGACTGTAAAATGGTATTTGTTGGACTATAGATCTTTGTTGCTAAACAAAAATTGTGCTAAAATTTTTAGATTTCATTATTTATTTTAAGTTTTTTTCGTTAGGTTTAAAATAAAAATGCAATAACAACAATTTCTAGTATGGAAAAATAAAAATTATTCAGATAAAATAACACTGCAGTAGTACAGCAACAGGGGTTTCACTATCAAAATCCGACCATAACCTCAATCTTTCATTCTTGACACGTGGTGGATGCGTCGTCGTTGACACGAAGGTGGATGCGCCGCCATGGCCCCATCTTGTCGACAGATGGCGCCATGGGACCTGCTCCCGTGGGGCTCTGCCCCCAAAAAGGGGGCCCACAGGGCTGCGCCCCCCAAAAGGGGGCCCACAGGGCTGCGCCCCCCAAAAAGGGGCCCCCGGATTTTATTATGGGTACCAGAAAAAGGGGTGGGGGGAAATGTTTTCCCGCCATCATGTCAACCGTCACCTGTCAAACGTCACCTGTCAAACGTCACCTGTCAAACGTCATCTGTCAAACGTCACCTGTCAAACGTCATCTGTCACATATGATGACGTCATACCGGGTTATTGCGGTGAATTCTTGTAATTACAGGTTCCTGTAATATGGAGTTTGCGTGGAAGGGATTGTTCCGAGTCGTTTCGAAATCGCTACGTATAGTTATTTCTGGTTCGGGTAATTACATGTTCCTGTGATATGGAGTTTGCGTGGAAGGGATTGTTCCGAGTCGTTTCGAAATCGCTACGTATAGTTAATTATGGTTCGGGGAATTACAGGTTCCTGTAATATGGAGTTTGCGTGGAAGGGATTGTTCCGAGTCGTTTCGAAATCGCTACGTATAGTTAATTATGGTTCGGGG